TTTTTTTTTTTTTTTTTTTTTGGTTTTTCGAGACAGGGTTTCTCTGTGGAGTTTTGGTGCCAGTCCTGGATCTCACTCTGTAGACCAGGCTGGCCTCGAACTCACAGAGATATGCCTGGTTCTGCCTCCCAAGTGCTGGGATTAAAGGCGTGTGCCACCGCCGGGCCAACCTTGAACTTCTGATCATCCTGCTTCCACCTCCCAAGTTCTGTTGTGCACAGTGTTTATACAGGGCTGGAAATCGAACCCAGGGCTTTGTTCATGCTAGGCAAGCACTCTACTGACTGAGCTACACTCCCAGCCCCATTAAAGTTTTAATAATGAGTTTATATATTTTTTTCAAATGAGCTTCTGTCTCTTCATCAGGAAAATGAGATGCAGACATCATCAATTTTACAAGATTGTGGTAGGAATTAAATGTATCGGTCTCAGAAATCTGCTCCATAGCATGTAGGCCTTCTCATTCGTTGTCTCCCTCCCTGCCTTGGAAAACGTACTGGGGCAAGGGCTGGGAGCCAGGCCTGGCAGCTCAGACTTAGAGGCCAACGCGGTACCATAGGAAAAACTCCCCAAACTGGGTGACCCTGATGAACATGACCCCTTGGAGGCTGGTCAGGGACAGCGTGGGGAAGCCACTCTTCGATGTTGGACCTCCACCACAGTCTCCCACAAGCTCAGGCCTCTTCCTTCTGCCCAGCCCCACCTCTCCAAACTGGACACTTTCTGCCCAGGCCCCGGCAACACGGCTTGAATCTCCATCTCGCCGCCCTCTGGTGATGGCCTCCACCACACCCCTGGCAGGTTCTCTGACTCGAGCTCTCTGTCTCACAGATGCCCAGCCGGAAGCCAGGGACATGCAAAACAAGGTGACCTCATTCACAGTCAGTGCAGCATGCCCTCCTGTCACATCTCTGCTTTGGGTCAGTCCACCAGGTCCCGACCCAACTCTTGAGAGTCTGGCAAAGACCCTTGGATGACCGTGACAACAGTATCTTCACCACTACACCAGGAAATCAAAGTCCAGAAGACCACCTGGAGCCTCCCTGGTACCAGCTCTAGCTGGCTACACTGGGAAATACCCTGTTGCAGGCAGGTGGTTTATTTCCTTTTCCTCATTCTCCCATTGCTGTATCCTCCCTGCATCCCCAGAGGGAGGGGGCAGCTTGGAGTAACACCCACAGATGGCTCGTGATGGGCAGAGTTCCTCTGTGAACATCAGCAGCGCCCACTTCTCCAAAGCCACCCATCCTGTTCCTGTCTATGTCCCAGGCACTGCCAAGGTCACCTTGGGGCCACATTTGGCCTCAGAAACCTCATGGCCGCTCCCTCACACCCAGCACAGTTACCTCTAACATCATGGGTACCCAGTGCCTCTTCAGGCCCATCCATCCATTCTCTTCCCCAGAACTGGATCTTACTCAAGAGCCGGTGGCAGAGAAGGGCAGGGCGAGGGGCCAAAGCCATCTCCACACCCAGTCTGAGCCTGGTTTCAGGAAATGTGGCTCTGTACCGCCCACTCTTCTCAGCTCACCCCGGGCTGACCCAGACACACCCTCTCGAGTCCATATCCCCAGCTAGGAAGCCATAGGTCACCATCATGAGCCTAGGCAACCTTCCCAATGCCAGGGTCTGCATCTGTTCTGAGGACTCCTCCCCATCTGCCCTTCCATGGCCTCATTTCTTAGGTAAGAAGCTGAGGATGCAGACGGAGGAGACAGGTAACAGAGCCAGCCCACAGCGCGAGGAGGACTCAGCTCATCCCGCAGCCCTCAGAGCTTCACCTCCTACAGCTGCTTTATTGCCCCACCCCTCCCACGTAGGCTCTTGGCTGTCTCCTCCATGGAAACGCCCTCCAAGCTTTGTGCTCCCCCAACCCCGGCAGGTGTTCACTGGACGAACGAGCCCTCGTGGCTTCTCCCTCTCCAGGGCATCTCAAAGTGCACCAATTACCCTGTCCCATGCACAAGCAGTGGCGCGATGCCATCGCGCACTCATGCATGAATGTGGCTAGCTCGGCCCTTCTCTACCATGAACCTTAACCAGCCTGACCCTGGTTGGCACCCTGGCACCTTAAGTACTGACCGACGGACCTCTTATGCCAGTGATAGAAGCCGTTTAATCAGAGTCTTCAACCCTCGGTTCTCAAGGCTCACACTCTTCCCACTATGGATCTTCTGCCTAGCCCTGGCCGTACCAACCAGTCACCATTTACAACATAGAGATCCAGGGGCTGGAGCCCCGCCACACAAACGCACACACACATGCTCATTGCATACACCCAGAAGCACATATATTAGTTAGCCCTGCTGCCCGGCTCCTCTCTTCCCCTTTATTCCCTGACCAGATGCTGTTTTGCTGGGTGCAGGGAGTTCCCAGGAATCCTAGCTTCCTCTGGCGATTTCCAAGAACCGTCCCCAGCATCCTTCTGGGCCCAAAGTTCACAGTGTGAGGTTCCAGTTTGGGGGGATACAGCCATGTGAGTGAGCCCTGATCTGTACTTCCTGATTCTAGCCTGGCACAGGGCACACAGTAGGTGCTGCCATTGACTCAGAGCTAGCCAAGGTGCAGAAACAGCTCAGAGAGGCTTATGGAAAAAGACAGAGTACACAGCAGGTGTGCGGAGAAACTCAGAACCAGCACAGAGCGCACAGTGGGTGCCCTAGAGACACAAGCTTAAAGGCTAAGATGGCACTCTATGAGAAACTTCCCACTGGGTGACCCTGATGAACAAGACCCCGTGGAGGCCAGCAAGGGGCATATTGGAGAGTGCCTCGGGCAGCTCCAGCTGGCTGGCCCTCCCCCTTGGCTAAAGGGAGACACTATTTATAGTCATCCCACCTTGGTCCAGGCCCCTCTTCCCAAGAAGGCCCCAGTTTTTCTTCCCTTCAGGCCACTGGCAGATTGATGCCCTCTCAGAGCATTCTGAGACCCCCAACACCCTCAACTCTCCCTCCACACCATCCTCACTACACCCAGGTCTTTTCCCAATCCCCACGGTCCCCAGCTACCCAATGCCTACCCTGTCCGTTGCTCTCCCGCCCAGGGTCGGTCAGAGAGGTGCCTCCTAATGTACCTCTGTCCATCCTGCCACCGAACTGGCCAGGGCCGCCGCCCCCCAACCCCACCCCACCCCACTGCGGCTCGGCAAGGGTAAGGAAACCCCGCCCCCCCACAGGCTCAGAGGAAAATGGCCCCGCCTCTCTAACCATTCTAGACCCGCCCCCCAGGCCTGCCTTGCTCGGCGAGGTTGCCAGGCCCGGGTCCAGGCCGGCAGCTGCACTCTGTGCTCGGACCAGGAGGAGCGCTTCTTTCCAGTCAGAGCTGCGGGTACCGCTCAGGGTCCAGTCTTCCCTCCTGCACGAGTGTCCACACCACTGGGAGCTCCTGCCTCATCCACAGGCAAATAGGGTCACACGCCCCAGAAAGTCCATCTCTCCAGCCCAGCAGTGGAATGGGGGATGTAAAGCAGGTGAACCCTACTGTTCACAGCAGGTCAGAGGGTAGGGAGGGAAGGTGAATGGAAGGGCAGGGAAGCCAGGTGTGACTCAGCCCTCAGTGTCACGGCCTGGGTGCACATGACTGGGTGACTCGGTGCATCCTATCCTTCAATCATCCGACATTTATTGAGCGCCTCCTGCCGCCACAACTTTGATGTACGCCATGCCACTCTGCGCTATGAGAAGCTTGGTGGCCTCAGTCTGCTTTACAGTCGAGGAAGTCGGGGCTCAGAAAATGTGAACAGCTTTGCTTAGGACAGTTCATCAAGGGAAGCAGAGCTGGCTTGGACCTCCAGCAGTATCCACTCCCTCCCATGAGCCAGTGTGTCCCTCCCCTGCCAGGGCTGCTGGGATGTAGCTAGGACAATGCTTGTGGGTATTGTGTGTAGATTTGGGAGTCAAACACACTCTTCTCCTAGTCCTTCTCACACGCCTCCAGCTCTTGCTCACACACAGCTGTCAGAGATTTATAGCAGGCAGAGACTCAGCATGTACACACACACACACACACACACACACACACACACACACACACACACACACAGAGCACTGCCAAGGTCAGGTTTCCCACATGTGGTCATCTATGCCTCTGCCTGGAGATGTCTCTGATAACCACATCCAACTAAGCAGGCGCTGCCTAACAGAGTACAAAACAAGCATGTCATCAGATGTAGCGGCACATGCTTGGAGTCCTAACACTCAGGAGGCAGAGGCAGAAGGATTGCTACAAGTCTGAGACCATCCTGGTCACATAGCAAGTTCTAGGACATGCAAGGTCGCTGCACTGTGAGACTGTCTTTAAAAACAGAAACACAGGGCTGGAGAGATGACTCAGAGGTTAAGAGCACTGGCTGTTCTTCCAGAGGTCCTGAGTTCAATTCCCAGCAACCACATGATGGCTCATAACCATCTTCAATGAGATCTGCAGGCCAAACACTCACTGTATACATAATAAATAAATAAATGTCAGAAACACAAAACAATCATATGGCCCTCGCCAGCACTCTGCTGCAGTGGCCTCAGGTGGGGCCCAGGCCTGGGGGCCTTAGATGGATGTCGGATGCAGCACTGGGGTCCTCTCCTTAACATTTAATGATGGCACTCACATGGCGGTATCTTGATGCTCTGTGACTGCCAGGCACAGCCAGGCATGACAAGATTCCATCTAGCAAACATACGTGCCAGTGTTCAAGATACCCAAACATATGGAAGTAGGAAGGGTACAGAAGCGTGGTAACACACTACATGGTCAGGCTGTCTAAACATACTGTGGACACTCAGAGGCCATGGCAGCGGCCCGCTATGGTAAAGCCTGGGTGTGTGCTCTGCCTAGATGTAGTACTGTCCAGCTTTGTTGCTGTCCTCCAGAACTTTCCATCCAGGGTCACCCCATCTTTATGACCCCCTCCCTCGTCTCAGTGGCGGCCAACACGAGCTAGTATTTGGGCATTAGTGGCAGCCTGATCCCTGGCAGCCTTGGTCCGGGCTTGCTCCAGTAAGATCCGTAAGAGGCCGATGGGGACGTCCAAGGAGAGTGTGATGCGCGTGTCCGGATGAGGGTTAGCTTTGGAGTAGCTCCGGGAAGCCGAGGGCCCTGGGGTGGTAGCCGAGTGCCTCTCCAAGGCCACAGAGTAGGAAACAGTCTCCGGATCGTTCTGAGAGAGGAGTCGGAAGGTGGGGGTAGGGGTCCCTGAGACAAATAGGACCCTACCCAATGTCGGGACCATGAGCAGCACCAGTGCCCACCTGGCCATCATGCTGTAAGGCTGTAAGGAGGAAACAGGCTGAGTCTGGATCTGCAGCTGCAGCTCACTGGAAGGAGACAGACTACAAGACACAAGAGCCAAAGAGGCTGGAGTGAGTACAGAGGCCAGGCCTGGGACAGAGACACAGAGACAAAGAAACAAGAAGAAAACCAGACAGGACTGGACCGAGGTAGAGCCAGACAGAAAGAATGAAAATGTGTCCTGAGGCATGGTGGCATGTGTCTATAATCCCAGCACCTAGGAGGCTGAGGCACGATCCAAATTTGAAGCCAGACTGGGTCACATAATGAGACTCTGTCTAAAAACTCCAAAGTGGGGGGCTAAGGACAGCTATCCAGAGGCAGAGAAAGGCAGGGGGAGGGGCGGAGGAGGAAGAGAGGAAGATGAATGGGGTAGAGACAAGGCAAGATGGGGAAGTGAAGAAAAAAGACAAGGCAGAAGGAGACAGAAACCATCAGAGTCGTCCAGATGGGAAGAAAGACTCAGAGAGAGCGCCACAGGGACCAGCTGGAGACAGGTTCTGAGCAGCATGGCTGGTGAGGAAGACCAGCGTTGGGGGCAGAGCGGGGCTAGTGAAGCAGAGAAACCAGGGACCCCAGAGCCTCCCAGGTCCAGACATCTGCACTTCACCCAAACCCAGGCCCTCTCAACCCCAGGCCCTTCTCATCCCGAGCCAGTGCTGGTCATACCGCTGACAGCTTCCTCCGGGAAGCCTGGGGATGCTGCAGCTGCGGGGGCCCGGCAACGCTCTCCTGAGACCCCCCCCCCATCTCACCAAACAGTCAACAACAAGGGCCTTTTAAAAACAGCAGCTTTAATGCCAACCTCCCCCCCGAATCAGCACCATGGCATCACAGCCGTGGGTCAAGGGGCAGGTTGGACACCACTCACATCCATTCACTGCCCACAACCACCCCCAGCAAGTGAGTCATCTGCCAGGAAAGCAGGCGCCACAATGGAGATTTGTCCACAAGGGGGAAGGCTAGACCCACAGGACCGAGTCACTGAAATAGCGGACACGCATACACGCTCACGTGTACACAGAACTCTAGCACCAAATGGAGAACAGCAGGGCCCTGCTGAGTCCTGCCATCCCCGGGGACTGCTGACCCTCACGCGCGTCATCCAGGCCTCAGTCCTAGGCAGCACCTGTGTGGAAGACATCAGAAAACATTCATCCCTCTGACCTTCTTTCCCAACACGAAATCTGCACAGAAGTATGGCAAAGCACCCATGAGGAATTGAATGTGGGCTCTGACTCAGAGGAGACCCTTAGCAAAAGGAACTATGGAGAGGTGCCATGCAGGCTCCACAGCTGGGGATCTGTAGTCAGTCCTTTGATCTGGGATCTGCTCCCGGTCCCCAAGTCTCAGGGAACTTCCCGCCCAGTCACTGATAGGTGTAGGTGCAGCCTTCACTGAGAGAATCATGGCCCCTACCTGTTTTCTGGCTGTGGACCACTTGGGGTGGGCAGCGGCGCTCACATGCCTCACGGGTTCCAAAACGGTTGGCATTCCCTCCGCAGCCACCGTAGACAAAGGGGTGACAGGCTGTGCCACCAGGCACAGCCCGATGGTACCAGCGCAGGGTGTAGGCAGTACAGGAGCCCTCATCCAGTGGTAGGGAGCAGGGGTCTATGGTCATTGGTGGTTAGGTTACTGGGGGTAGTGGGGATCAAAGGAATCTGAAATCAGCAAAAGATCAGCAATGGGATGGGCTCCATCTGTCACTACCTGAACCTCTCTGGTCCCAGCCCTTGATATCACCATCGCCATCCCAAGGAACTTCTGGGTCCTGGTAGTCCTCCACAGAATACACTGAGTATTCAGAGAAGTCGTCATCATCTTCAGGGGGTACCCGGCCTGCAGGTAGGGTGATATGCTGTAAAGAGGTCCCTGCTGGCTCTGGGACAGAGTAGATAGCAATGGTCTCTCCCATATGAAGAAATGTGTTTGTGTGTGTGTGTGTGTGTGTGTGTGTGTGTGTGTGTGTGTGTGTGTCCTGTGTGTAGACTTTATATACGTGCAATATGCCCTGATGTGTGAGTCCACACATGCATATATGCACCCCATCTGTACATGCCCCATGAACTGTCAGCCTCACCTTCCTCCTCTACATGAGAGACCCGGAGCACAGGCACAGGGTGAAGCTGAGGGCCAGCTGTGTCCGCAGCGTAGCTGGAGAGGGGTCCTGGAACAGGGCAGGTGATGACACAGTCGGCCACCCTAGCCACACCCCTGCTGAGAGGACCCAAATGATAGGAAGGGAGTCAGGGCCTTAGATGAAGAACGTTCTAGAGACAGAAAGCTACTCACGTGATCCAGATGCAATAAACTGGCCCTGGCAGGCTGGAAGGGACAGAAAAAGGAAGAATGAGAAATGGAGAACAAGAGACAAAGGAAAAGATGGGGAGGTGGAGAAAGAGAGAGACAGAAGCCACATGCAGGGGTGAGGTACACAGAGCTGCAGCAGGACAGCCAGGGAGACACGAAGGAGTGAGAAGAGAAAACAGGAGAGCGGGGAAGGAAGGAGAGAGACAGGAAGAAAGGTAGAGATGAACCCGCAGAGAAACCGGGAGTACCAGGGACGCGAGGGACAAAGGAAGTCAGGGGCAGGAGGCCCAGAGGTGACAGCAGTCATAACAGGAAGGAACAAGGCTCAGAATCATCACTCCCAACCTGTGCCACAGCCTCTGGGACAGCTCTGCTCCCCACTCTGCCCCTCCAAATACAGCTAGTCACCAGAACTCTCCACAGCCACCCACATCCATCTCCCTTCCTCCATTAAGGGAGTCCTGCTCGCCTGTAGCCATCCATCTCCACCTGCCCTCTGTAAGTCCTGGGGACGTGCCAGCCCCCACCTAGGTGTCCTAGGATGGGGTGGGGGCAGGAGACTCCACATTAGACCCACTCACCACAATGCTGACTCATCTCCTGACGCACAAAGCCCCGGATGTCATCCTCCTGGGAACACAAGACCACAAGGCCCCTGAAGAACCCATGAATCATGGATCGCATAATGCAGGAATCAAAGACTAGTCATATAAGTCAAGAGCCCTGGGACCAGGGGGTCAGGGTGCTGGGTGACCCCCCCCCAAGCCAAACTCACGGTCAGCGCAGCTTCTCCCTTCTCCCCACGAGGGCCAGCAGGTCCTGGTCGCCCCTTTGAGCAACAAATGTGACCAAGTTGTGACAGATCTCACAGAGACCCGAGACCATGCTCATCTCTGACTCCAAGCCCAGGAACCCACACTCACCTGCTCTCCTCTCTCACCGGGGGCGCCAGGAGTACCAGGAGCCCCCACCACACTCTCTCCAGGGGGACCTCGCTCGCCCTGTTTACACAAGGACCAAGTAGGCAGGGTCAGGGTCAGTGACAGAATCCGGGCAAGTGGAGGACCCCGGTTCAGAGGTTGGAATATGGAGAGCAGCGCGTGGGTTGTAGGTTCATGGTTTAGAGAGACAAGAATGGCTGGGGGTGCCGGGGGTGTAGCTCAGGAATACAGCCCTTGCTTAGCGCGTGCGTGGCCCTGGGTTTAGTCCTCAGTACTGTCAGGAATGAGAAAGCCAGGCTGGAGAGGTGGCTCAGCAGTTACAGTACTTGAGCTTCTTATAAAAGAGCCAGGCTTGGTTCCCAGCACCCACATGGTGGCTCACAACCATCTGAACTCCAGTTCCAGGGCATCTAATGCCTTCTTCTGGCCTTCTCAGGCACTAGGGACATACATGGTACACAGACATATGTTCAGGCAAAACATTGATACACTGGGCCACCCATCCCCGTGGCCACAGCAATGGATTGAAAGATGGACATGTGACCTGGATGAACCAATCAGACTCCAGCAGGGACTCAAAGGTGAGACTGCCTTTGATACTGGGAAGAGAGAACTCTCTCCTCATGGGGTTGCAGAGAGGACAAGGACATTGGTGGGACAGGTGGGGCTTGTGCAGCCACCTTGGCACCATGGGGAGTTAAGGAAAGCTCAGGGCACTGGAGTGAGACTATCAAGGAAGGCAAATTTGTGTTGTGGAAGCCCATGCATGGATCAAGACCTGAATTTGTCACCAAACACCTATATGAACCATGGCTATATGAGCCATTAAATTCCCTTTGTGCCTAAAAATAAATAAATAAAGAAAGAAAGAAAGAAAGAAAGGAAGAAAGAAAGAAAGAAAGGAAGAAAGAAAGAAAGAATTAAAGACAAAACAGCCAGCATTGCACATGTCTTTAATCCTAGCACCTGAGAGGCAGAGGCAAGCAGAGTCCTGAATTTGAGGCTAGCCTGGTCTACATATAGGGCTCCAAGCCACCCAGGGCTACATAGTGAGCTCCTGTCTAAAACGAGCCACCAAGCAAACAACAACAAAAGCAGGGAGGGTAGGGTCAAGGGTCAAGGGTCAGGGGTCACAGCTGGGGAACCCTACCTTCTGACCCTGAAGTCCTTCAGGGCCTTTGGGACCAACACCACCAGGTGGCCCTGGGGGACCGCTAGAGCCATCATTCCCCCTGGGACCTGGGAAGCCCCCAACTCCTGGGGGCCCCTGTGGATAGAAAAGGGCTCGTGAGGAAAACCCCTTCGGATGAAACCACTACCAAAGGTCACAAGCCCTGACCCCGGCTTACCCGCTCCCCTTTCTCGCCTTGGTCACCCTTGGGACCTGGCTGCCCATCAAAACCTCTGTCACCCTGGAAACAGAAGAAGGGAGAAACACACTCAGCCCTGACATCCCTCCGCTCTTGTATTCCCTTGAGCTTGGTGCCTGCCCTGAACCAATGCCCTCTACATGTATGAGCCAAGCATGTTACTGTCCCAACTGTGATCCCATGACACCAACCCCACTCAAGCCCTGCCCTGATACAACATGGCCCCTTCCCTGTCTACCCTTTCATCCTAACTCTCTGCTGTGACCCCAACCTCTCCTGAAATCTCAAAAACAGCCACACATGATCGCCCAAAGCCACAGTCTTCCTTGAGTCTATCGTGACTTCCT